CAAGCGACTCTCTTGCCTTAACCTCCTGAGTAGTTGGGACTACAGGTGTGTGCCACCATACCCAGCTAATTTTTGTATTTTTTAGTAGAGATTGGGTTTTGCTATGTTGGCCAGGCTAGTCTCAAACTCCTGGCCTCAGGTGATCCACCTGCCTTAGCTTCCCAAAGTGCTGGGATTACAGGCTTGAGTCACTGTGCAGGCCTAGGTATATTTTCCAACACAGGGTTATGAAATGTCCTAGCCTTCTCTTGCTAGAGAGAGATGAGACTCTGGGGAAGGTAACAAGAGACTCTATATGAGGGAGGAAGGGCTTAAAAATGTTCTATGTCATCTCCAAAGACACTCTGGGCAATGAGGCACAAAAGAATTTGAAGTGACCCCTATTCAGATTCACCCACACTGGGTGAAGCAGGAGGTACTTGTTATTAGTAATTGTCAGCTAAGCATGGTGTTTCACACCTATAAATCTCAGGGTTTTGGGAGGCTGAAATGGGAGGACTGCTTGAGCCTAGGAGTTTGAGACCAGCCTGGGCAACATAATAAAGGCTCCATTTCTACAAGAACTAAAAAATAAAAATATTTTTAAAATTTGCAGGGTGTGATGGTGCATGCCTGTAGTCCCAGACAGGAGGCTGAGACAGGAGGATCTCTCAAGTCCAAGAATTTGAGGCTTCAGTGAGCTATGATTGTGCCACTGTACTCTAGCCTGGGCAACAGAGAGAGACCCAGTCTCTAAAAAAAAAAAATAGAAAGAAAGAAAAAAAGAAAAGAAAAGAAAAAAAAAGTAATTGCAAAACGTTTAATCAGCTTAAGACCTTGTGGGTCTTTTAAAAGCATGATCACAGACACAAACACAGATCCCACATTTGCCCTATCTGAGCTTCTGGAATCTCTTACTCCTGAGGAGTAGTGGGGGGTTGGGGGGAGAGTGACTCTTAAATCTGGGTGTCCTGACAGCACCCCTTCTGCTATCTACCTCTGCCCCTTGGTCCTCCAAGCTGCCCGTGTGAAAAATGGCTAATTCCTTTCCTCTGGTCATCCCCCTTCTCACTTGTGGGGTAAAAAAGAATTAAAAAAAATCCTTGTCGGTTTTCAGCCAAAGTCTCTGGAATTTATTGCAAATTACCTTTAGAAAGTTAATTGTGGCCTGGCGAGGTGACTCACGCCTGTAATCCCAGCACTTTGGGAGGCCGAGGTGGGCAGATCACCTGAGTTCATAAGTTCAAGACCAGCCTGACCAATGTGGTGAAACCCCATCTCTACTAAAAATACAAAAATTAGCCAGGCCTGGTGGCAGTCACCTGTAATACCAGCTACTCGGGAGGCTGAGGCAGGAGATTTGCTTGAACCCAGGACGCAGAGGTTGCAGTGAGCCCAGATCACGCCATTGCACTCCAGCCTGGGCAACAAGAGTGAAATTCTGTCTCAAAAAAGAAAATAAAAGAAAGTTAAATGCATCTGTTTTTAGAGCCTAACTTACCCAAGAATGGGACAGAGCTCTCTCTGGACCACAGGCAGGATTTGGCAGCACTGCTCAGGCAGATGTCATCCTGAGATCAAGGACCAAGCATTTTCTTACTTGTTGATGGAAAGAATTAGAAGCCACTTAACGTTCTGTCATTTGCACCTGTGTGGCTACTCAAGCATATAGATTTTATTTTGCAGTGAAATTATAGAAAAAAATAAAGAATACTGACTTTAGACTGAGCATGGTAGCTTATGCCTATAGTCCCAGTACTTTGGGAGGCCTAGGTGGGAGGACTGCTTGAGGCCAGGAGTTTGAGACTAGCCTGGGCAACATAGCCTGACTCTGTCTCTACAAAAAATTAGTTGAGCGTAGGGGTGCACACCTTTAGTCCCAGCTACTTGGGAGGGTAAGATGGGAGGAGAGCTTGAGCCCAGGATTTCAAGGCTGTGATTTGCTGATTGCACCACTGCACTCCAGCCTGGGCGACACAGCAAGATCCTGTCTCTAAAGAAAAAGAAAAATAAATTAATTAATTAACTGCCTTAAAAAACATTAGCCAGGTGCGGTGGCACACATCTGTAGTTCCAGCCACTCAGGAGGCTGAGGTAGGAGGATAGCTTGAGCCCAAGATTTGGAGGCTGCAGTGAGCCACAATCACACCAGTGCACTCCAGGGGGAAGGAGCGAGGGAGACCCTGTCTCAAAAAAAAAAAAAGGGGGGGGGGAAGACTATTAACTTCAGAAGTAGATGCAATGTATATTTAAAAGTAAGTATCTGTGTAAAGATGCTATGTTTGACTCATTGGCAGGTATTAATTCATTGCCCAGCGTTCTTTATTTAAAAAACAGCTTTTATACTACACGCTGTGGTTACGTCATTTTTCTTTCAGAGGATTATTACTTTTTAAAAGCTTCTTAAAAACCTTCTTAAATTCCCAGTTAGAGCTGTTACATTCTAACCCAGTCTCAGAGCTGATTGGCTCAAAACCTCTGTGGGCCAGTAATGCCACATTACCCCGGAGGGGCGGGCAGCGCGGGGGTCAGGGAGCTGCCAAAGCCAGCCCTCCTACTGGCCAGCACGCACATTCCAGGGGATAAATAGGATTAAGTGCTCTAAAGAGGATTCCCAGCCCTCCTGCAAAGGAGGATCAAACACTCCGGTCTAGCTCTGGAACAAAAATAAGCCCCAGAGAAGGAGAAAGTGCCTGTTTAAACACCAGGTGGCCCCACCCCAAGCCTCCGCTCTTCCTCTTACCCCCATCTCTGGATGGCTGGGGAGAGCCCCTTTCCGCAGGCAAGTGTGCGCACCGGATCCAAGTCCGTGAGAGTGGGTTCAACCCACCCTTTTTAGTTTCCTAAATAGGGTCAGCCCCTGAGCAGCAGTGGGAGGTCATGACCTCAAATCTCTTCTAGCTGCTTTTGGGGACGAATGGATAAACTCTGTTAGGAAGCGCTGTAGCGCGTCTTAGAGAAAGCCCTTTGTATGAACTGCTCTCAGGACACTCTCCTAAATTTAGGTCCTGAAAGATTAAGGTAATAAAAACTGCTGACATTTGATTGCAATTTTTCTTGTCCAGGAAACAGACCAACCACATAGAACCAAAAAGCGCCCCTCTCCAAACTTCACCCCACCCCACCCACCTTTTCAAACTGTCCCGCGAGGAGAGGGGATGACACTGGCAGGGGTGGGCACCAAAGTCGGACTCCCTATAAAGATGCCCCAACAGCACACATGTTAATTCATTAACTCGGAGGGATCTGGGGTCACTGTGACGGTTTTCTACTAATAGGGAATAAAGCTCCTGCAGACGTTAGCGGTAATGCCCTGACGGCCGGCGCAAAGTTAACTCCTCCTGGGCCAGCAAGTGGAAACCGTATCCTGCCCAGGCAGATGTGCACTGGAAACGCGCGTGTCCCCATGAACACACGGGGTTTTAGGACCACTCCCCTTCCAGAGGCCAGACCCCACACCCAATAGTCTTTTCTCTGGGGAGGGTGCGGCGGCAGCAGGCGGCCGTCGGATGTCCATCAGCTCAGCTTCGCCACGCACACGGCTAGGGCCACAGCCGCCAGCAGCACGGCGCCGAAAAGGATGGCGGCCAGGGCCTTCCTGGGGTCGCAACCCCCTCCGCGCTCCTCCACGGACATGACCGAGGAGGGGCCGGCGCTGACTGTGGACAGGAGCTCGGCGCCCGCCGCTTGCCGGGCTTGCACGGTCCAGCGGGGCACGTTGACCTTCATCTCCATGTTGTCGATCATCTCGCCCACCTGAAGGACCTCGCGTTCCAGCTCCCGCAGATCCGCGACGTCGAAGTCACCCTCCGCCTCCAGCCGCAGGCTGCGGGTGCTCAGCGCGCGCGCCGCCACACCGGAGGAGGCGCCGGCTACACCTGTGCGCACCAGCGGCCGCCGAGGCGCGTGCAGCGGGAACGCGGCACCCAGCTCCAACGCGCGTCGCATATCCGCTTCCAGCAGGTCCAGGCAGCCCGAGAAGGCCACCCACAGACGCTCGAACTCCGCGCGCTCGTCGGCGGCCAGGCCCCGGTCGCGCAGCACGGCAGTCAGCCGGGCGCAGGTGGACACCGCCAGCTCTTGCGCCTTTTGGCGAGTCTTTTGCAGCTCCTGCCGCAGGTTCTGCGAGTCCGCCGAGCCGCCGACGGTCAGCACCAGGTGGTGGTAGCACGCAGTCGTCTTGTTGAGCCCATCTAGCAACGCCTTGCACTCCTCCCTCGCCATTGCGGTGCGCTCCGGCTGGGCCCTGCCGCCTCAGCGCGGCAGGACGCGGCTAGCCCCCGTTCCGGCCTCGGTCCGCGCGGCACGAACGCTCCTCATGGTCCGTGAGTCGCTCGGCGCTGCCGCCAACGTCCACGGATCCCGCCCGGGACCCTCGACGTGCGCCTCTGCGGACGGGGCGCGGAGAGGGAGCCCCGTTAGCGGTCCCCCGCTCCCTCATCCATCCTCCCAGGCGCACCCCGAGTCACACGCCGTATCTCTGCGCCGCCCTGGCCTCCACGGTGGCTCCCTGGGAAGCTGAGGGTGCGGTCCCCATCCTCCGTGGGTGCCAACCCCGGGGCGAGCAGGATGCAGAGCCGCGCGCTCCGCCTTAGGCGCTGCCAAGGGCGGCCGGGTAGGGTTTCCTAGGTCCCGCCCACCCCGCCTGTCCCGGCCGAAGCTGCCACCCCCTGGATCAGGGGTAGGCGGGGCTCCGCGCGGGGAGGTCACATGTGGGTCGCCCATTCCTCCCTCCCCTTCACCCCATCCAAGTTCTGGAATGTTAGCGCTCGAGAGAGAAAACACGTCTTATTTTACGGATGGGGAAACTGAGGCCCAGGTAAAAAGCAGGCCAGGCCACGGCGGAGTTTTTACCAGTGAGGGGACTAGAACCCGACTATACTGACTCCCGGACCCTTTCGGCGACAGGACGTGGGGTGCCTCGCAAGACTGGGCACCTCCGTGCCCCAAAGCGAGCAGTGACTGGCAATCCGAGGGGCTGGGCGCTGCCGGGGTCGGGTGTCCCTGGCGCACCGCGCTCTGCTAGTCAGTGCTTCCGAGCGTGTACCCCACCTCTAGTGTCAGCCCCGGCTCCCAGCCCTGCCCCTCACGTTCTGGGCACGCGCAGTTGCTGGCGCGGGGCGGGGCCAGCTGGAGTAGGAAGCGTTGGGAGCCGCCTGAGCCCCGCCTCCGGCTGGGCTGGACTCAATGATTGCTCTGTGCACACGTCACTCTGGGAAACGACGGTTTCTCACTGGGTCAGCTGTGGCGCGGCTCCGCCCCACGGCGGAGTAAGGGGTGGGCTACAGGGCCCGACCGCCGCGCTAGGGTGGTGGGCAACGAGGTCCCAGCAGTGGACGAGGGAGGTGCCACCGCCGCCCAGGATGGGCTGGGAATGAAGCGATGTAGCCTTTTAAGTAAGTGTCCTCGCGCTGGCCTCCTCCCGCGCCTCCCCTCCCGCGGGACGGCTGCGCCTTGGAGCGCGGCGGCCGGGCGGGGCCCGGAGAGTGAGGGGGGAGGGGCTCCCTGCTCTTCGCAGTCCGCTCCCGGGTCCGTCAGGTGGCCCCGCGCCGCCCTAGACCCCGCGTCGCCAGGTGGGTGCCCGGTCCGCAGCCGGCGCGCCCAGCCCACTCCGCCCCTTGAGTCTGGAGGAGAGGGAGCGGTCGGTGTGGAGAATGCGTCCTCCGAGCCCCGCTGCGTAGACACCGGCGGGTGGGGCCGGGGTCCCGGGTCTGGGGGTTCGGACCTAGCGGGGCGCGGGCGGTCGCCGCGCGGTTTCCCGGCGGCCTAGGGGCTGCTGGAGGGGAGGCGGCGGATGGGGGTTCTAGCCGCGCGCCCGGCGGTTGTGATTTCCGGGGGTGGGGGGTGAAGAGGGCGCGGAGCGGGGAATCCCTGGCTGCCGGCCTCTCGCGGGGCGGGGTCTCTGCGTCCCCACAGGTAAAGATTGTTAAAGGAAAACTCTTACGCCCCGAGAGATGTTCTGGATTCTGAGTCTGTTCCGTCTTTTGGTTGAAAATGGACTGCCCAGGAGCGCACGAGCCACTCGGTGCCCCCTTGGCTGCCCCTCGAGGTGCAGGGGACGTAGGCACTCGCGGCCCGTGCTGGCCGAGGGAGCAAGGGACAGGTCTTCGCTGAGGATTTAGAGCATGCAGGGAACGAGGGCTGCTGGCAGTGCTGGAGGGACTGTGAGGCTGCAGAGAGCTCAGATTTTACAAGTTGATGGGTTTCATGGAGAGAGGCTCCTGTTTTAATTTAATAATGCACTCTTCCCACTGGCCGAAGAGTAGAGCAGTGGATTTTTTTTTTCTTTTCTTTCTTTTCTTTTTTTTTTCTTTTTGAGACAGGGTCTGGCTCTGTTGGCCAGTCTGGAGTGCAGTGATGCCATCATAGTTCATTTCAGCTTCAAACTCCTTGACTCAAGCAATCCTTTCACCTCAGCCTCCTTTGTAAAGCTGGGACTACAGGTACATGCCACTATGCACGGCTAATTTTTAATTTTTGCTTTTTTTTTTTTTTTTTTTTTGTAGAGATGGGATCTAGCTCGGTTGCCCAGGCTGGTCTTGAACTCCTGGACTCAAGCCATGGTCTTGTCTTGGCCTCCCAAGGTGTTGGGATTACAGGCACTAGCCACCACGTTTTGCTGAGCAGTAGCTATTATCGTTTCGAGATTAGCCTGGCATGAGGTCTGGTGTTGAGGTGGCCTGACGGTCCGGTGCACTGAGCCCCGGGACCTACTGTCACTCGGGGGTCTGTCCTTTAACTGGGTGAGCAGTAGGCTGGGTGTTTGCTGCCAGGGCTTGGGTACTCCTGGCCTTGACCATTGTGTGGAAGGGGGGGTTGTCAGTCACCCACATGCTACATGGGTTTGTTCCCAGGGGAATAGTAGTTTTCAGGACAGAATGGGTGGAAAGAGGGAAAACCCTCTTTCCCTTCAGCGGGGAGCTTTGGAGACAGCAGAGGGTGAGGAAGCTGCAAAGGTGGCCAGAGGCCAGACATGCCAGGTCCTGAGCACCTAGCAGAGAAGTTGAGGGTTCACCTGGTGGGGAGTAGGGAGAAGCCTTTGAGGAATCCTGCAGAGCTGGGTGTTGGAAAGATGAGTTTGTTTTGTTGCTGGTGGATAGGTGTGAGTGAAATCCAAGGGACAGCTCCAGGAGGCACAGCCCGTAGGCCTTGGAAGAAGGGGGTGCAGGATGAGAGCAGGAGCAGAGATTTCTCCTGACCAGCCATAGGGACAGGAATGCACCTGGGGCTCTGACGTTGGATAGACTTGCATTCCCAACTTACACCCAGCCTTGCCTGGTGACCTGAAATAATCTTGGCCGGCAGCCTCCCTGGGAGGGCAGGCAGAGGTGTCTGCAGATGGCCTGGGGTCTCCATTGTGCCTCTTTGTGGCTGTTAAACTGTGTCTCCCTCACCAAAGCAGCTGCTAGGTCTTTGTTAGTGATGTTTCTGTGTCCCGGTTAGGGTTTCTGTGGCATCTGCCCTGCTGGGGCTCTTCCTGTCTGTCATTTGCTGGCACTAGGCTGGTGTCCAATGACTCCATCCTCTCATAGAGGAGCGGAGGAATGTGACCATGTCATGATAGGTACCAGTCCTAGAAAGGATTCAGTCCAGAAGGATCCAGACTCGATTTGTCCTGGGGTTGATTCTCCGTCTGAGGAACACTGAGAAGTGACTCTAGAGCTCCTGCCCATCTGCCCAAGATACTGGTGGAGGGTGCATGGTGGTTCTCCCTGCGGTCCGGGAACAGGGTGATGCAGTGGCATTTAGAGGGTTGTTGTGCTCCTCCAGACTTTTCTGCTCTCTGCATGGTCCCGCCCTGGTTCCGGTCCTGGCTTCTCTCTAACCCTGCACATTCCAGCTGTCACGGTGTTGGGCTGGCACTGAGCATCCTGATTGTTTTGGGCTTTTTGCCTTTGTGCCTGCTTGGCTATGACCTGGGGCTAGCCCCTCACCTACCCTGGATATGGACAGTGGAGTTCCAGCTCTTGTGAGGGATGACCTCTCCCTGGGAGCTCGGGCTTCCTCTTAATGCGCCACTATCGTTTTGTTCAAGTGGGTGAGCAGTTACTCCATGTCTGCAGGGAGCCAGGCGCAGGGCTGGGTGCTTTAATGAGAAGCCTTGAGAAGAATATGGACAGGATCTCTAAATGTTATAGGTCAGAAGGACACAAGTGACTGTAACAGCATGTATTACATCACCACATTGTTTCCATGGGTATGAAAAGTAGATGAATAGAAAGTTTGCGTTTTTCGCCTTTTCGTTCTGAATCATAAATTGGACCAAATGGAGAATACTGCTCATCTGTTGGGAAGCGTTCCCGGTCAGAGTGTTTGGTTAGAGCCCTGGAAGGGCAGGAACAGCCATCGCAGGGAGATTTCAGCAGGGAGTGCATCTCTGAAGAGGGTGAATTCCCCGTGCTGAGTTCTGCTGAGCTAGGCTGCACGCTGTCACCAGACGGTTCCTGACCACCCAGACTTATCTGGGCTGGCAGGACGGTTGAAGACCACAAAACCACGAGTGTGCGCACTGCCGCCTGAAATACTAGTTTGAGGCCTCACATGGCTCTGCTGTTCGTAGAATAACTGCAGATAACTCCCATTTAGGGGTATTTGGTATCTCCAGCTAACTCAACTGGATTTTCTGTACATTTTCCCATCATTTGAGCCCAAGCAGGGATGGAATTTTTTTTAAACACGTTTTATAAGAAGATTCACTTATCTTTCCAGTTTTACAAGAAAAAGTCCATTTTCTTTGCATGTTATTTTAAATAGCAAAGTAATTCTTTTTTTTTTTTTTTTTTTTTTTTTTGAGACAGGGTCTCACTCTGCCACCCAGGTTGGAGTGCAGTGGCCCAATCTCAGCTCACTGCAACCTCCACCTTCTGGGTTCAAGAGATTCTCGTGCCTCAGCTTCCCAAGTAGCTGGGATTATAGGCGTGGGCCACCACACCCAACTGATTGTATTTTTAGTAGAGACAGGGTTTCACCATGTTAGCCAGGCTGGTCTCAAACTCCTGACCTCAAGTGATCCACCTGCGTTGGCCTCCCAAAGAGCTGGGATTACACGTGTGAGCCACTGTGCCCAGCCAGCAAACTAATTGTTGCAGGTAAACTTGACAGGGTATAAAACTGTTCTTTTAAGCATTTTACCCTATATAATAATTCAACTCTGGCATTAAGCACCAGATTGTATGAGGTTATTACCTTTTTTTTTTTTTTTTTTTTTTGAGATAGGGTCTTGCCCTGTCGCCTAGGCTAGAGTGCAGTGGTGCAATCATAACTCATTGCAACCTTGACCTCTTGGGCTCAAGTGATCCTCCTGCCTCAGCCTCCCCTGGCTGGGTGTGTGCCACCATAGCCAGCTAATTTTTGATTTTCCTGTAGAGACGGGGTCTCACTTTGTTACGCAGGCTGGTTTTGAACTCCTGGGCTCAATCATCTGTCAGCCTCAGCCTCCCAAAGTGCTGGGATTACAGGTGTGAGCCACTGCACCTGGCATATTACAGTTTTTTGTTTTTTTTTTGAAATAGAGTCTCACTCTGGAGTGCAATGGCATGATCTTGGCTCACTGCAACCTCCGCCTCCCAGCCTCAAGTGAATCTTCTGCCTCAGCCTCTCTAGTAGCTGGGATTATAGGCGCCCATGCCTGGCTAACTTTTGTATTTTAAGTAGAGACGGGGTTTCACCATGTTGGCCAGGCTGGTCTTGAACTCCGTCTCAAGTGATCAGCCTACCTCAGCCTTCCAAGGTGCTGGGATTACAGGTGATAGCCGCTGCGCCCGGCCCTTTTTTTAAATTTAAATTTAATTTTTTTATTTTTTATTGAGACAGAGTCTCCCTCTGTTGCCCAGGCTGGAGTGCAGTGTCATGATCTCGGCTCTCTGCAAGCGCCACCTCCTGGGTTGAAGTGATTCTTACGCTTCAGCTTCCCGAGTAGCTGTGATTACAGGGGTTTGCCACCATGCCCGGCTAATTTTTGTGTTTTTAGTAGAGCCAGGGTTTTGCCGTGTTGGCCAGGCTGGTCTCAAACTCCTGACCTCAGGTGATCCGCCTGCCTCGGCGTCCCAAAGTGCTGGGATTATAGGC